TGCCCTCTCATCACCCCCCAAGGCTTACCTACTCTGACGGCTCCTCCTCTCCTGTTTAAGCAGATAACTACCACATACACTTACCCAGTGCGGGTCTATTCTTTCTCAGCTCTCATTCAGAGTGTCGAAACATATCAACCAGAAGAGAAAAGGGAGATCATTTCCGTGACATGATTTTATAAAAATAGAATAGATTTTATAAAAAGCAGCAGCAGCCAGGAGTGGTATTTACTCACCTAGTAATCACTCTAATTATAGACAGTTGGGTGTCACGGGCAACCATATTGGGTGTCCGGAAGGTTGCATCAGACAGGATGTCTCATTTCCAGCTTCCTCTGTTAATGCCCTGCGCACGCCCTGGTCAGCATCTTTCAATTACAATCTGATTGTTACACAAATAGGAAGTCTTCCCATTCGCTGAACTGCAATTTTATCTTACCGAGGATGTTCGATTTCCAGACCCTGGCTTGGTGCTCCCAGTCTTCTGCTGATGTACATTTCCCTAGACAGAATGGATATTTTGTCTGGGAAAAGATGGACCGTAGGAGTTCTAATCGGAGAAAAAAGAGAAAAAGTGAGACTGCTGTTCCCATTTCAGTAAACTGTGTGGTCTCTCCCTCCCCGCTCCTCCAATATTCCTTTGCTTCTGTTACTTGGCCTTGAAAACTCTGTTCCAAGAATATGGAAGGATTAACATGCCATAAGCAAGGACTTCCCTGGTGGTCCCGGGTTAAGACCTGGCCTTTCAATGCAAAGGATGCAGGTTCCATCCCTGGTCAGGGAGCTAAGACCCCACACACCTCACAGCCAAAAAACCAAAACATAAAACAGAAACAATATTGTAACAAATTCAGTAAAGACTTTAAAAATGGTCCACATCAAAGCAAAATTCTTCTAAAAAAAGATGCCATAAGCCAATATCTAAATCAAGAGTTTCCACTCATATAGAACCTACACAAGAACTAGAACTTGAAAAAAAAAAAAAACCGGCTTGACAGTAAACGAATTCAGCACCTCTGAATTTATTTATAATCTTTCCCTTGGTTTTTAATCCAAATGGATTTCTGGGATTTTTTTTTTTTTAATTTGAGGGTGGAACCTCTCAAAGTGGCACCTTCTGTCTCTAACAGAAGTCACAAACTGGCTGTCCACAAACCACATCCAGCCAGCTGATGCATTTAGTTTGGCTCACATACTGTTTTTTAAAAAGAATTAGTTGTCAGCATTTAAAATTTTTACATAAAAATATAGGTTTCTATAAAACAAATATTTCTATATACCTTGACATAAGATACGGATTTCTGTAGCGTCTCAGGGAAAATAAAGGCAGATAAGGCCGCCCTGGGATATACCCAGTTATATCCACGTGGTAACTGGTGGGTGGTGACCCATTAACCTGGTAGGAAATAGACAAGGCAGACCATCCGCAGGAAAACGTGGAGCCGGGAAGGGGAGCGGTTTTCTCCTGTATCCGCATCTCTAGCTCGGAACCTTGATTCTGACGAGCGTCCAGTCTACCTCCCCAACGTGCCTGAAACTGAAAGCCTCTTCCTGAACACCTGCCAGACGTCTGCTTGCTGAAGGCAGCAGAGTGGTGGTGGGTGGCGGTTTCGTCACTCAGTCGTGTCCGACTCTTGCGACCCCATGGACTGTAGCCGCCAGGCTCCTCTGCCCATGGGATTCTCCAGGCAAGAGTGGAGTGGGTTGCCACGGAATTGGCTTTAAATCTTCCCTCTTCTTTGCAGCTACCCCCACCTCCCCATCAGCCATCGTGCCCTGAGGCTTAGGCTCTCAAAAGTCCCCTGGACAATGAGACAGCACCTAAAATGCGGCTACTGTGAATTGAGATATGCAGGAAGTGAAAAGGACACGCAGGATTTGTTTTTAAAGATTGCTAGTTCATTTTTAATATTTATTAATTTATATATTTGGCTGTGCTGAATCTTAGTTGGGATCTAGTTCCCCAACAAGCCTGGGCACCCTGCACTGGGATCTCAGAGTCTTAGCCGCCAGACCACCTGGGAGGTCCCAGAAACATGGGATTTTAAATATTTACGCTAAAAAACAATGACAATCTAAACTGAGTGATCAATAATTTAACTGACTGATCAATAATTTTACATGGGTTACCTACTAAAATGATTGTTTTTGACATACTGGGTTAAATTTAATAACATTTAAAGGGTTAAATATTATTAAAACTAACTTTCCCATTTTTCTTTACCTTTTTTAACAAGGTGGGGTTTCAAAAAATTTAAATGGCGTACGTCTCAAAAATTTTAAGTTACATTTGGGGTTCACACCTGTGGCTCTCATTTCTTTCTGTTGGATAGCACTGCTTCAAAATAGCCCTTAGTGCCACATGATGAGTGGCTAATTATATCTACATTGGCAGTCATATTACAATACATAAATGTATGAAATCAACACGTTGTAAACTTTACAACACGTTGTAAACCTGTATAAATTTACACAATGTTTTACGTCAAATATATCATAGGAAAAAACATCTTTTGGGTTTGTCCTATCCTTTCTGAGCTTGCCACCAACCTAGAGCCCACTTTCTTACTTCTTTCACTCCTAAAATTTCACCTTAGTCTAGGCTTTTCCCCCTTCTAATCTATTTTGCACACCCTGGTCTAGTTTATCTGCCTAAAACACTGCTTTTATCATGAAACACTCCTGCTCAAAAACTAACACCAGCTCCCATTTCTACTCCATCAAGTCCAAATTCTTGGTAATAATAAGACTTTAAAAACCTACTGGGCACATTATGTAATTCTCCCAACAACCTCACACCTAGTATGCCATATTTTTTTATTTTCTAAATAGAACAAAAAGGGCTGCAGCATTTGCCTGAGCTGGGAGGTGAGCGGGAAATCACCTCTGAGCTGAGAGGATGATTCAGTTAAACCATCCAAGCAGCAGCTGCTTCCCTCACAACAATTTACACAACACCTCACATTCGACTAAAGAGCAATCAACATCTGCCCATCTATGAGCTGAGTTATTTTTACATCAGCTGAGAAAAAGAATAATAGCACTGAAAGAAGAAACTGTTATATTTGCATTTCAGAAAAACAAAACCAAAAGTCAACCAGAAAAGCTTAAGAGAAGCAGCCCACTTTGTTCACTGTTCCAAAAACTATATATATAGCTTTGTCACATAATAGAAAAATTGAACTACGCCAGTTTGGATGCTGTGGCAAGACAATAAAATACCATTTTGTCTCAAAACTGGAAAAGCCTGAGTTTAAAATTCATCAGTAATTATATAAACCTTAAACTAGCAGACTTGCTGATTCATAAGCTGTGTTGGTAGTTCGATGCCAACATGTATTTATGTTGGGAAGAGAGACCCTTTGTCAGGACTCACCTCCAATTACCTGGTTTTTACTGTGCTGTCTACAAAACTCCATCCCTTTCATTAAACACAGTATGTTACACACATTTTCTTTCGGGTTTTTTTCAGCTACAGATGAGACAGGTTTTGCCAAATAGTGTCTGGCAGAGTCGTTTGGTGTACGGGTCTTGCAATCAGACAACTCCACATTTTACCATTTACTGTGTTACTTCAGACAGAATTGTGTAGCAGTTCTCTGCTTCTTGTTACGGCCTTTCTAAATTGGGCATAATCATACTTTCTTCACAAACTTCTATAAGAATTCAACGAGATAAAGCTCATTGTTAACACAGCTCTGGACCTGCGGTAAGAGCTGTAACGGCGGGACAAGGATGAGACAGCCCCTTATCTGTCCGGCCTCGCCACCCTTGCTAGAAACAGTTTCCAAGCAGCTCGAAGACTCCAGAAGAGGGTGGGGCCTTAGCGTCCAACGCGCGCTCCTAAACTCTCAGTTTAATAGCCAGGGCGTCGGGTGGGGTGAGATCGGCTCGCCGGCCCGTCTGTTTCGCCGGGGCCGCGACGCAGACGCCGGACTGGACTCAGCCCGCAGGCCGGGCGCAGCTGCGGGTCGCTCCCTCACGGCGCTCCGCCCCGCCGCCCCCGCAATGAAAACACCACCACGTGGCCTGCAGCCGTTGCGTCACTCTCCTCCACCCAATTGCAAGCCGTGCCTCGGAGCTGGGGGCGGGTCTCCAGTAGGGCGCGTCCGCCCACCACCCTCACCCGTTGGCTAATTGTGCGCCGCGCTGTGCGCTCTCCACCAATGGAGGCCGCCGGCGGGACCCCGCCCTCTCGGTGGCTCAGTCAGCCGGACCCGCTGGAGGGGCGGGGCTGACGAGGAGGGGTGGGGCGACGCCGGCCTGGGCGGGGTCTGGAGGGACGGGGCGGGGCCTGGCAGGCCCGAGCGGGAATGAGGCGGCCCGGCCCGGGGGGCACGGAGGTGGGGCCTGACGGGGTGGAGGCGNCCGGGGAGTGACCAAAGCGGGGGTCTGGGCAGGAGGGGCAGTGGCCAAGACAAAGAAGATGGGAACGGACGGGGAAGTTGCAAGCTGACCCAGGGCGAGATAGCTAGGGCCCAGGAAGATGGGAGTTCAGGAAAAACTTTCCCATTTGTCCTTAAGCATCTCAACGTGGCATCTGGGCAGGGCCAACGACAAGGAGGCAGCCTATCCCCGAAGCCAGTCCAGCCTGGTCCCAGCCCAGCCCAGCCTGGGCGCCTGCCTGCGGGCCGGGTTGTCAGGAACCTTCCCATTGCCCCCAGTGTGTCTTCAGGAAGCCCACTCGGCCAGATGGAACTCCTCCTGGGAGTCCAGGCACGCTGTCCCCGGCCCAGGCTGCCCTCCAGGGGAGCGTGACCTCCCCTCTGTTGCTTCTTGAGTAGATTTGAATGTCTTGCCTTGATGTTCACATTCGGACTTTGGCCAGTGAGCTGGGGGTTGCTGGACTGTGTTTGAGACATATGGAGGAGTCGGTCCCTTAGAAGCAGAAGGCTGCTCCCTTTCCTCCTTTAGTGGGATTGTTAGACATCCCGGGGACCATATGGAATAACCTCTTTGGAATGTGCCACACAGCATCAGGCAGCGATGACCAGTCCCAGTCCCCCACTTCCTGCTGTACCAGTTTCTGTCGGGTTCCTTCGTGGAGTCGCCTTCAGGCAGGTGTGCTGGCCGTTTGTGCCTGGACTGTGCTAACACTGAACAGTCAGCAGTGTCATTAAGGTCATCATGTGCCATAAGCAACCCGGGCCTTCCATGCCCTTTGTCTTCTCTTTAAAAACACCCCATGCCAAACAATATGTCTTTGTTCGAAAAAAACTGTATGTGTAATCGTGTAAGCTGATGGCCAGACAATTTGGTTCCATGAGTGACTTTCAAGCTTTCCTTGACCACAGCCCACAATAAGAAATACATGTTACAACATTACCCAATATCTATCTATCTATATGCACACACACAGACATATATGTAATATATATTGTTGTTTAGTTGCTCAGTGGTGTCCCCTGACTCTTTTTGACCCCATGGACCCACCAGGCTCCATGGAATCACCCAGGCAAGAATACTGGAGTGGGTTGCCATCTCCTTCTCCAATATTATATATATAATATCACTGAAAAGCAATTCACAGCTGTTTACCCTTCCTATGTGCACTACCTTCTGGAATTTGTATTTTTTTTTTTTCATTTTTAAGCCACTTATGACTCACTGAATTGTTTTCTCATGGTTTGAGACCAACAGTTTACAAAAATGATGGTCTAGATACCATTCTGATGTTTTGTAAGAAACATTTTGCAAGAGAGGGTGGCTGTTGAAATGCCTGGGTGTTTGCCTTCCCAGTTGAACTCAGCTTCAGCAGGAGAGCAGGTTAAGGAGGAGAGTTGGTTTGCTTCTTAGCAGGAAGTGTTCTCAATCCTGCTTTGCAGCACTCTTTATTAGATGTTCTTAAGGGTGTTAATTTTTACTCTAGGCGAGTCCCAGCTTTCTATAGCAGGTGGAGAAGCATGTCATTTTCAAAACCATAGGGCGCTCGGGAAGTTAATTTCCGTAGTCTCTACGGTCAGTTCTGTTTTCTTGGATGAAGGCTCTGCTGGACAGCTCTGTCTCACCTATAAATAAACCTTTTTGTCACGGTCAGTTGCTTTGAGCCTTAGAGGGTATGACATTGGATTTTAAAATAAGCACGCCCCTTACCGAATACATTTAGGAGTATCAGCTCTAAGTATAAGCTGAATTTGGGATCCACTATTTCAAGAGAAAGGAGTAATGACAACTAAGCTTTACTAGTCTGCTTCACTCATACTTTCATGCTCGGCCCTGTGCTAGACAATTTGGGTATATTTTTTTCTCATTTCATTTATGATATGTGTTTGTCCCAAATCTCGTTTTCATGGGAGGTGATGAGAAAATTATTTTTTTTTCCTGCAAAAAGGCCTTATGAATGAGATAAAATTTGAGTCTGAATTCCTCGAGTCAGAGTTTTCTGTGACCATTGATTAACCATTTAAAATACAGCAGTGGGACTTCCCTGGTGGTCCAGCAACTAAGACTCAGTGCTTGAAATGCAGGGGGCTCAGTTCGATCCCTGCTCAGGAAACTAGATCCTGCATGCTGCAAATAAAGATCCGTCGTGCCAGAGATCTGGCATGGCGGGAAGAAGCACAACAGTGATCACAGTGCCATTGCCGGTCTTTAAAACTTCCGGAGCAGAGCATGTGTTTGAAAATGATTTTAAGTTGCCAGATCTTTTGATTAACATTTTAAGACTCTTAATTACGACTTTCCCCCCTTACTTGAAAACTTTAGAAACGTTGGTTTGCAACTAAATGCACATATGAAAGAAAGTGAAAGCGTAGTCTCCGAGTCACATCAGACTGTTTGCCACCCCATGGACTGTGCCTGCCAGGATGCTCTGTCCATGGGACATTCCGGGCAAGAATACCGGGGTGGGTTGCCATTCCCTGAAAAATCTTTATAGGGAGAAGCTTTAAAAACAGCACTGGCTACAGAGTATGTGTGTTTTGAAGGTTTAAGATGCTGCTGGCCAGCCTTTCCAGGTGCTGCTTGTGGCCGTTAGCGCGCTGGTTCTAGAAGCGAAGCCCCAGCTCTGAGCCCGCTGCTGCCGGGGGCTAACCTCTGACCTCCCGCCTCCCCCAGCTTAGCCCCTCAGCAGAAGGAGCCACCTGTTAAGGTGTCATCCCAGGGAAGAACAAATGTTTGGGAAGGAAAAAAAACTTCCCATGAAAATCATATGACCTTCTCTTTTCCAGGCTAGTGAAACAAGAGCCTTGGGCATCTGGACTTGTAGCAGTAAGCTGCTTATTTTAGTTTGTGCCTCCCTGTGAAGGGTAAAGCACACCTTTTCATATAGTTATTTTAAATGAGAGAGTTGGACTCATTTTTATGTCCACGTAGGACTGGCTCAGCACTAAAGAATCCACCTTCAATGCAGGAGATCTGGGTTCGATTCCTGGTTCGGGAAGATCCCCTGGAGGAGGGCATGGCACCCACTCCGGTCTTCTTGCCTGGAGAGTCCCATGGACAGAGGAGCCTGGCGGGCTACAGTCCATGGGGTCATAAGGAGTCAACTTAGCGACTAAGTAAGTAAGTGAAAGTCACTCAGTTGTGTCCGACCCTTTGCGACCCCATGGGCTAGTCCATGGAATTCTCCAGGCCAGAATAATGGAATGGGTAGCCTTTCCCTTTCCCAGGGCATCTTCACAACCCAGGGATCGAACCCAGGTCTCCTGCATCGCAGGCAGACTCTTTACCAGCTGGGCCACAAGGGAAGCTTAGTGACTAAGCACACACATATGCTCACCCCCCACACACATGAGGCTGTGTGTTTCCCTGTCCCCCTGGGAGCCCAGAGGGACGGCTGTGTCTGTCCGCAGGCAGATCCGGGGTTGGACCCAGCACCGCATCACTCCCGGGCCGTCCCTGTCTTCACAGGTCCCTCGCTGTCGGAACCAAGGCCGGCTACAAGCTGTTTTCCCTGAGCTCCGTGGAACAGCTGGACCACGTCCACGGAAGCAGTAAGTGTGTGTGTGGCTGTCGGAGCATCACGTCCTCCTGCCGGACTCCCAGCCGGGCTCCTGAGCTTTCCATTCCCCTCCAACCCCGTGAGCTGTCACACCTAGAGTCCGTACTTTTTCAGGTTTAAACATAAATCACTGCTTCCACTCACTTAGGAAAAAAACCACCATAAAGTGAGATTTGACTATAGCTTAGGTAACATTTTTCTTTTTACATAAGAAAGCCTTTGAAACTGTACTGTTGACACTTTTGTATACTTATATGCATGGTCAACAGTTTTTATAATTGTCAAAGCAAAAGATGACTTAATGATTATTATTATTATTTTTTTGCCCTTTCATTGGCACTATAGAATATTGGTCACATTCATTCAGTCCTGGAAGTCACTTCTTGGTTTTAATAAAGCAATACTGCCCCAATCACAGAGTCCATATCAAAGACGTTGAAGTACTTCCAGCAAATATTAGAAACAAGTCCAGCTTAGAAATGTGACTCTCTTGTCTCAGGGAAAATCACCATTTTTGCCAGCATCATAGTGATGAAATCCATCGTGCTGGATTTCCTGGAAAGGAAGTGGCTTGGCACATGAAGTCCTGGGCTCCTAGTTTATTTGTAAGATGTTATCGTCATTATTATAACTTTTGAAGAAGATCGTGCTCTGTATCTGCCCTGTGTTGTCCCCCGTGGGGCTTGATGGAGCCCAGAAGAGGCCTGTGTGTGAAAAGTGTTCCCGGGAAGACACAGAGGCCCCCCACGGGCGCTCAGAGGGCTTTCTGTTAGCAGTGTACCTCGCTCCTGGGTGCAGGACTCTGCTGGTCCTAACACAGACGTCCAGGTTACTTTCACCAGGAAAGGGACTCAGAGACAGTCGGGGTACCGCGGGACGGGGCGTGGGCCAGAGCTCACTGTGCTCCTGCCCCCATTGTTGAGGTGTCTGTACCTCTTAGCAGTGGGGACCTGAAGAATTCCGGAAGCAAAGACTTCCAACAGAGCTATCACTCCTTGGAAACCACTCTCGGAGAAAGAGCAGAATGAGGGAATTCCCTGGTGATCCAGTGGTTAGGACACCCGCTCACAATGCAGGGGCTGCGGGTTCACTCCCTGGTCGGGGAACTAAGATCCCACAGGCCCCACGGCCAAAAAAATAAATAAATACGCCAAATGTACCTGTTTTTTAAAAAAGAGGGACTAACCTGGTGATCCAGTGGTTAAGAATCCACCTTCTAATGCAGAGGATTAGGGTCAGGGAACAAAGATTCCCACAGGCCCGGGGCAACTAAGCCCACGCCCTACACATAAGACCTCATGCAGCCAAATAAAATCCAAATTTCAAACATTTTTTTAAAAAGAGAGAATAGATTGAGATGGTCTAAACCTCCCAGATGGGGCCTCCCTGGTGGCGATGGTAAAGAATCCACCTGCCAATGCAGGAGACACAGCTTCGACCCCTGGGTCGGGAAGATCCCCTGGAGAAGGGAATGGCTACCCGCTCCAGCATTCTTGCCTGGAGAATCCCTGGACAGAGGCGCCTGGCGGGCTGCAGCCCACGGGGTCACAGAGAGTCAGACAGGATTGAGGGACCCAGCAACAGCAAACCTCCCAGATAGGTTCTACAGAGCCAGTGGGGCCCCGGACGGGTAGGGAGGGGGTGGAGAGGAGGGGGCTCCAGCGCTGCGGCCGCAGCGGGGCGGGGAGAGCCGGCTTTGTGCTCGGATCACGGTGTCCCCTTGCCTGTCCACCACCTAAAGGGCGTGGGGACTCGGGAAATGGTTAGAGCTTCACTGTGGGCGCAAGAGAAGGAAGTCACTGCAAGTGGGTGCCAAGGGAGGCGAGCCCCGAGGAGGCCAGCAGAGGGCAGGAGGGAGCCCAGGGCAGGGCCCCGACGTCTGCTCTCCCACCCCCACCTCTCCCCCATCCCGGCCTCCCCATCCCCGTCAGGGCCTGACGCCTGTGTCCCCCGCCCCCACA